GTAGTGGAATAAGAAAGTAACCTCCTATTAAATAACCTAAAATTAAAAAATAAAAAATAAAACCCCCAATTCAAAGCTGTTTTATATCAATAAACACACTTTCAAATTATTATGAAAATAAAAAATTAATTTGTAATTAAAATTATATTAAATTACAAAATAATTATTTTTGAATCGAGAAAGGCTCCTTAATACTGTGTCCTTTTCCCTCTCTCTTTTTCGGGCACTTTGAGTATAAAGTGACTCCAGTCTAAGATACTCTATAAGAAAAAGCAACAACCTTACGAAGCACTTGATCTTTTAAGTCAAGTGGCTTTCGGGATATTTTAAAGGTGCACTCCTCCCTCTTTATAGTGGATTTGAACTCACCCTTGTTAACTTGTTCAACAACCTCATGAAATTTTGGTATAAATCATTGCACATCATTTCATGCCCCATTAATGTGCTCGTTGCCCATTAATTTGTTAGTGGAACTGGGAGTAGGTAATCCGCCATTGTCCAAGAGATGAGATGAACAGAATCTTGTCATCGGAGTAAACACATATTGAGGGAATTTTTTTTATTATTAATTTATATAAAATAATAAAAATTAATCTTAATTTTACTACCATACAATTCAAATTTTCCAGGTTGAATAACAAAACAACATACTTTAAAAATTAATCCTAATTTTTTTTTTCAATTTTTATTGTTACATAAGATTTAAACTTAAAATGTGTACCATAATTATTTAAAATAAGAACATAAATATAATGTCAGCATTTAAAAATTAATTGCACTAGAATCTATTTTTGTTGACAAAACATTTCCACGTCCCCTGTTGTATTCCTTACAAAATGAACTTTGCCTTTACACAATTACCGATCAATATTTTTGTTTGGCAGTATATTCTTATTTTCATTCCTCATTGCTTCTTCTTTATGTGATCCCAATATTCCTTTTCCAACATCTCCACTTTCCTGGTTGCGTTAGCTTTGCTGTCAAGAAATTCTCGCATCTCTGTCGCATTGTAAGGGGGAGGCAGGGTGCATGGAATTGAATTGCTAGGAGATGTCACCAGTGACTCTTCCATAAATTCCCTCCACTTT